GCCGCTGCCGCCTGCGCAAGAAGCAGGCAGGGTGAGCTATTTAGTCAAAAGGGATTGGGGCAGTCAAAAGCAAAACCAACAGCGCCGCATACAAAATCGATTGGGAGGCTGCGAAAAGAGCGGCAAGAGTAACAGGGAGCAAGCAAGTTGAGATGCCAGAGAAAAACCAAAGAGCCGCTATGCGGCAATGACTGCCTTGCCTTCATTGCAGGAGCAATGCCAGCATTCCCAGCGTTGCGCTTGGGTCGCCTGAAGAATGCACGAGCTGCAGCAAAGCAAAGTTCCTAATGTGTCAGGCAGAAAACCCACCAAAACCTCGGCGTTTGCCTCCGTCCTGATAAAGCGACCAACCCAGTCCACAGTGCCTCTACGCCAGAGTCGATGGCTGCTTTTCTCTGCACTAGTACAACTCTCCTCATTCAATGTTGTTTGGGACAGGTCGTTCTTGTTTTGGCGCACCTGTCTGCTGAAAGCAAGCGCCATCGCCCAAAGTCAAGGAACGAAGCAGAGGGCGTCTGGTCTTCAGCTTCACAAGGCGTGACTCGCGAAACATGATGCCAACATGTCCGCCGATGCCTGAGAAAAACAATACATGCAAATGTCAACGTACTACTAAACCTGCCAACTCATAAATGCACATGGGGCACATCATGGCCAACAGTGGTTGACGAGGCGCGGTCAACGGAGGAAAATCGAAGTTGGAGCCGCAAACGAATCGCTGAGGCCGGAGCTCTGTGTTCTGAACCTCAGCAAAATGCGGAGCCAGGCATATGCCAGCCACATGACTCCATGTGATAGTGTATAATTTTACTATCAGAGGAAGTTTAGAAGACACTCCGAGTACTACTAGGTCCTTAGGCATCACTAAGTGCAGGCTAGCTGTCCTTTTAAAGCAGCCGAAAGGAGAACCGAAAGGAAGAGAAGAGAAGGCTGTCGTGAAGTACATGAGGCGGAAACAGAAGAGAAGAGAAACAAGTGGAAAAGAGCGGCACATAGAAGAGGTGACAAGTGTTCAGATTGCGTGACACGTGCAACACTCGTGGATAGGAAAGTGCTCAAAGTGTTGTTCGCCCTGGCGCAGGTGCGGCACAGGCGGGACGGGCGCGGCGCCGGGCCCATTGGCAACCGGAGAAGAGCTGGGCAATTGGCTTCACAAATAGCTAGCTTGATAGAAAGCAATCTTGACAAATAGATGCTGGAAAGATAGATAGCTTGACAAATAGATAGCATGACGGACACGACATAGCTCAACGGATAAATAGCTGGACAAATAGACTGCTTGACACATAGATAGCTGGACAAATAGCTGGCTCAACAGAAAGAAAGCTTGACAGATAGATAGCCCAACAGATAGATAGCCAGCTTGACAAACAGATAGCTGGATAGATTGACTGCTTGGCACATAGGTGGACAAAAAGCTGGCCCAACAGAAAGAAAGCTTGACAGCTAGATAGCCAGCACGACAAACAGACAGCTGGACAGATTGACTGCTTGACGAATAGATAGCTTGGCGAATAGCTGGCTCAACAGAAAGAAAGCTTGACAGATAGATAGACAAATAGCCAGCTCGACAAACAGATAGCTGGATAGATTGACTTCTTGGCACATAGATAGCTGGACAAATAGCTGGCTCAACAGAAAGAACGCTTGACAGATAGATAGCCCAACAGATAGATCGCCAGCTCGACAAACAGATAGCTGGACAGATCGATAGCTTGGCCAATAGCTGGCTCAACAGAAGGAACGCTTGACAGATTGGTAGCCCAATAGATAGATAGCCAGCTTGACAAACAGATAGCTGGACAGATCGACTGCTTGACACATAGATTGCTGGACAAATCCGCCGACGCCAGTCGAGCGTGTAGATGGCAGTCCGCAACTTGGTCTTCCTTCGGAATTTCTTATCAAAGCCGAAGGCTTTCGGGACTGCTACTTTGTGGGCATGCTGCGCTGGGTGTCCAAAACCCTGTATTTTTGCCAGTGCTTTTGGGTCTTGCGTGCTAAAAACTTGCGTTTCGCCTAGGTTTCTGTGGGGGGGGGTTTCCCCCGGACGCGCAGGATCTGCATCCCCAGCATCATCAGGATTATCCTGTTGCCATGAGTTTGTCTCTTTTTTTTCGCAGATACTAGTGGTGGTTTGCTGTTTCAAGCGATCTTGAAATTGGCCTGTTGGGGGTTTGGGTGGTGCCAAGTGCAGTGATACTTTGAGGAACTGTTGACATTTGCAAAAATGAGTGTTTTTTGCAATTCCCACCTGTACGGAGCAGTTACTGCGAAACATCCCCTGCGTTATCGTGCGTTTGGAAGTTTATTTTTAAAGGGGTTGCTAGAATCTGTTTTTGATGGTTGATTTTGGAAAATATTGAAAAACCCTGTTTTGTTGGCACTTTTTGTGGCTAGCCGGCTGCATTCCCAGCATTCCCGACATCTCTGGTATTTTCTGTGTTTGGTCAATTTTGCTAAACAAGTTTTAAAATGTTGGATGCGAAGATTGGGTGTGTGTGTTTTTGTACGTTGTGTGGTTGCATCCCTTTCATTTCCAGCATCTTCAGCATCTGGAACATCCCAGTTTATTAATAGGGGACTGTCCACTGGCGCCGGCGTAACGATTTCAATAACTGGCTCAACAGAAAGAAAGCCTGATAGACAGCCCAACACTTAGATAGCAGCTCGACAAACAGACAGCTGGACAGATCGACTGCTCGCCACATAGATAGCCGGACAGATAGCTGGCTCAACAGAAAGAAAGCTTGACAGATAGATAGCCAGCTCGACAAACAAATAGCTGGACAATTAGACTGCTTGACATATAGATAGCTGGACAAATAGCTGGGTCAACAGAAAAAAAGCTTGACAAATAGACAGCCCAACAAACAGAGAGCCAGCTCGACAAACAGATAGCCTGACAAATACACAAACATGCAGCTTAACAAGGAGACAGCTTGACAAATAAATGGGCCCGACAAATGGATAGCCCAACAAGTAGATAGCTGGAAAGACATGTGTCGCTTGACACATAGATAGCTCGACAGATAGCTGGTAGCTTGGCAGTAGCTGCACAGCTAGCTGGCCCAACAAATAGATAGCTTGACAGACAGGTACTCCCTTCTTCCTATTTATAAACGGCCCCCTCCCCAATAATAACACCTATCTTGAACTACCCAATGCTAAGCCAATACTAAGCTCTCTGGAAGCCAGATAACCTCAGCCGTCCTTCTTAGGGACCACCCGAACTATCAGGTCATTGCTGTTGAGGAAGTTCAGGATATGTCCTGCTTATCTGATGTCCTGTCTATCCTGTAGGCACAAGCAGCAGCGGCTTCTCCTTGATAAAGTCTTACTCAAAAGTTGTATTGTGGCCGCCTTTTTCTCTCAAGCCAAAGTGCTGCCTTGCCGGCGAGGTTTACTAGGGTCTCCATAAGGTTCCCTTCATAAGATCTTTCTCAAGAGTTGCGTTCTGAGCGGCTCCTGTTGTCAGGGACCAGCTGGCAAGCCGAGGGTTTCATCATATAGCATTCAGTATCGTTTTGCAAATCAAACGGGTTCCTGCCCTTGAAAAGTTCTTAAGTTCTTACATCCTGAACACGTTGCTTGCAAATAGAAAGGGTCCCTTTCTTTGCAAAGTTCTTACAAGTTGCATTCTGAACAACTTGGAACCCAATACAAATCAATCTGAAACAGTTCTCGCCAAAACCGGGGAACCGCCCCCCCCCACAAAAAAACAACTCCGAGGCCTTCTTATTGGAAGGGGGATGGTTCCTGCAGATGTCCCCGTAATGGGACAAACCCTCAGCACATGCAAACAAAGGGAGGGACTGTGATGTGTCTGACCAAGAGTGTGGACGACTGCGCCATACATAAGAAGCAGACGATCCCCCCGACAGCAAATATCAACATATTCCGTGATTGTCACTTCTGAGAAAACATGGTCTGAAAGGCAAAGAACCGCGAATCTTCGCTGCAGTTGCCAGGCGGTCGGTAACTTAATCTCTCACCTGGGTCAATACTCAATACGGTTATTAGCCGCTTACGTATTAGGGCCGGATTAGCTTCAGGAAAAGACCTTGACAGGTAGCGACTTGACAAATAGATAGCTCAACGATAGTTAGCTTGACACAGACAGCCTGCCAAACAGATTGTTTACCGGGAAGATAGCTCAACAGATAGTCAGATACAAATGCACAAGCGCAAGTGGGACAAACAAGCAGCAGTTGTCCATGACTATTTCAATGAGGCCGAGTAAGATCGCCAAAGCAAAAGCAAGCACCCCTATAGTGAATGGTTTTTAGAAACTTCTGCCCACTGGCTTAGCCGGCTCTACTGGTACGTACAGAGTCAGCAGAGTGTCTCTGACAGCTGTGCTTTCAGCCATCGTGAGCATGCAGGCTCAAGCACCGATCAGGTCCGGACCTTCTTCTTCACTTCCTTTGCTGCAGGTGCCTGTGATGGGCCATCCAGCCAGTGAAAGGCATGGATGCAGATGCCATCTTCTCACTCCAACCCAACTCTCAAGATAACTACTGCATCAGCACCCCGACATCATATCTTTTGCGAACCTCAGTAAGTCTCTAAAGCCATTGTCGCACTGCTTGCAAAAACTCCCAGCCGGTGCCATTAGCCTCTGCCGAACTCATCGGAGCTTGGCCCCGGAATCGGAACGCCTGCTACCCCTCTCGGGCAGCTGCTTCCCTGGAAAGGCAAATGCCGCGATGCCGCCGGAGACAGGAACTGGAGTCCCAGCTGAGAGTGAGAAGCCTGTGTCACTACGTGCAGTACAATTCAGCTGGTACTCCGGATGTCCAAGCGTAGACAAATGTTGCCGGCATCGATAGAAATCGAAAATAGTTGCCCTAAAAAAAGCTTGAAGGCCTTCCCTTGCGCCAGAGTGGCCATGACTTTGGCTCATCTTTGGGCAAGCTCTGAGAGTGTTCAGCTCGCCTTTGCTCCACTCCAACCCGATTCCGAACATAAGAGAACATCCTTCGGTTCTGAGTTGCACATCAATACGTCCTGAGTTGCACATCAATACGTTCTGAGTTGCACATCGATACGCGAGCTGGAAGGGGCATATCTGCAAGGCTCCATCTGGAAAATAGCATAACCTGCCTTTCAGTGAGCTCTGGACAAGCACTTGGCTGAAGGTGTTCCGTCCCAAGTGTACTGAGTACTGTCTGCCAACAAATCACTTCCAGGCAGTCCATCATATCACATAATTACTTATGATAGAGCTTGCAACAAAACGGTCGTGATTCATGCAACAGGAGCACCTGTTCTGGCACTTTAAAGATGCATTTTGCAAATCACATGCAGTGCCTATGCTTGCTATTCAGCTACTGCTCTCTTGTCTGTTAGACAAAGGCCGTTCTCGAGCAATCATTGAACCAATGAAGTCCTCAGACGGGGCATGGTGAGTCGAGACTCGACATGTCGTATGTCGGGAATCGGCTCCCGGAAGTTGATCCCAAAAGATCCCAGGGTGTGTTAAAAGCAGGCTCCACAATCAATCGCAATGGCTGTAGTGTAAGGAAGAACCCTTGCGCGAGCTCGCGAGAAGGTTTGCGCAGCTCCAGCGTACGACTAGGAATGGTCACAACGTTCAAGGCGAAGAGGACTAGGTCCCAATAAAACCCAGTACAGCTGCACGAGTTCATGGGGTGATTCTTTCAAGATAGCAATCCTAAACACTGGGCATCGTGAGTCTATCATGAGCAGGAATTTGGCCTTCTGAACAACTCCGAAAGACATCGCCGCCAATACCATTTGCCAGCTAGCTTTGTCCCAACTTTGCTCAACGGGCTGTGTGTTTTGCTATCATCACAGTTCAACCGTCGTCCACTAGCGTTGTGTTGTCGTATTAAGCTGCTCGAATGTCTGGCATGTCACCTAAAGAATCTGATGGTGTTGCACCTGCGAGAAGCAAGCAGTTCCATCTGGGATTGCTCTGGTTTCAATGTGTTAGTTTCTGTAGGTGCAACCTATGCTATACACCACTATTACCATTACATATCACATGGGCTCATCTTCTGTAGCGCTGGTGGCTATGAGATGTTTCACCAACGAGTGCATTCTAGGCGCGGAAAACCGCGAATCCTGTCAACCAATTTGCATTCCTATCTGTCCCCGTCCACATATGGTCCTCTGAGATCCTCTGATAGCTGCTCAATATCACAAAATAGTTCAATAAACAGCCAATCCGACGAAAAATGCCTCCTATTCGTCTGTACCAGCAACTGGGGAGGGAATGATAGCAATGACAAGCCTCGAATCTGTGGCCACGACGGGTCGATGTTTACGCTCAACAGCGTGCAGGGACATGACCAGCCACCACTTGGACCCCACCGGACCACACCTTTGAGCTTGATTTTACCACGGACATCCCCCCTTTCTGAGAAGACTTCTTGGTGTGTCGCGCTTCCATCTCCTTGTCTGCCGCTACTGCCTTTTGTAATTGTGCTTCGAATGGCAGTGCTCATGTCTTCTCTCCACAGTGCGCTCGTTTCTCTCGCCACGGAACGCTTCACGAACGCTTCACGCACGTTGCTAAAATCATTATCTTGCTCTCTGATTCAACAACAAAACCTTGCCGGATTTCGCTCGTGGCTTCGCTCCTTCTCTCTACGCATGTGATTGACCACAATTAGCGCCAATTGGTGCATGCCAAAAGAAGGCCAACCCAACTTCCTCATCGTAGCTCGCTCGATACTGTTTGTACATTCAAACACCTGGAATCAATCATATTACAAGAGGCAGCCTCCCAAAGTTTGGGAAGAGGTCTGGGGGAAGGATATCTTGAAATCTGTAGCGGGTCAAAAGGCTCAATCCAAAAAGCAAAGGCACGCTAAGACGTTAAGACAGTCCTGACTGCTCGGTTTGCCCTTCTGTCAACATGCAGGGCATGCGTTGGACATGTCCAGCTAAAGCCAAGCGTCAGGACCTGGTTTGGCAGGCGGGTCAGCCACTTGTCATTGACCTCTGGGTTCCTTCGCTCAGCCTGCGCCAAGTTTCCAAAATGGAAATTCAACAGGAAACCACCGACTTAGAGGGCTGCTAGTATGAGAACACACCCCAACAGCAAGAGTTGCGGCTGCAAGCAGCCAGTGAACCTCACTGACGTGTCCTTGCCTGTCTCTGCTTCAAGATCCGATGGCGGTTCTCGTAGATTGTCTTCCTCGGTTACCATCTTGTCTATCCAACGCCATCGAACCAACGAAGGCAACAAACGAACCAAGCGGCATCACGTACGCAAAGACCATCGTCCTCTCCTCCCCCGAAGGCCTCGGCAAAGAGCGGAGCGCAATCCCCGGAAGCCCACAAACGCCTTCCAATTTGCTGGTCAGATATTCCCAGGTAACGGCTGTTGAGGCCCACAAGACTATTGGAGGAACAAAGCTACCCTAGATGACAGCAGCACCTACATTTTCGAAAGTTATTGATCACAAAACTGGGTGCAAGGACTCATCCACAAGCAGCAAGTCTGGGCAAAGGTCTCCTTTAATGGTGATTGATTGGCCAAGTGACACCTCAGCGCGTCCGTGCAAAACTCGCCAGTTGTTCATCACCTTAGCGCTTTGCTCGTCCTAAATGGCGGCCTGTGCGAAATGAATGAACTCCACGAGTCTGAAAAACGGCAACATATTTTAGTCGGAAACCGCACACCTAGATAATGTTCACCGAAGGGCCGGACCCAAACCAAAACACACAGGAAAAGAACGCAGTGAGCGGGCCTTAATGGAGAGCCACCAAAAGAAACCTTCGCCTCTTTGTGATGGAATGTGGTTAAGCATCGCTTCAGGAGACACAGGTACACGTTGGAGAGGGTTGGACTGAAATTGAGAAAGCTCGAAGCTTTGTAAACTTTATTCTGGCCGAAGTGGGCGACGCGAAGCGTTCAAGATTAATTAAGAGTGTTGTATGTTATCATTGCTCATACACGCAAATGATCCAAGGCTTTGCCTGGTCTTCAGGTCCTCAATGAGCATTGTGTGATTTTCTAAGGCCAGCCCATCATCGGTGCAATTTGCTCCATAAGCCCGTGGCAACCATGGAATGCTCCGGCCAGTCAAAGTTGCACTTGAACCTGTCCTCCTGGTTAGTCGAATTGCTCAATGCATCCAACATAAGTCGCCGGCCCTGCAAGAGAAAAACAACGGGATAGCAGCCACAACAATCACATTTATTTGTGCAGACACCCCAGGCGAGTCGCAAACAAATCAACATGGACACAACAATATGCATACCATTTGGCTCACATGATCGTTCAGGCAAGCAAGGCCAAACACAATATGGATACATGCAGGACGCAAGCAGCAGCCAACGTGTCCTCCACCAGTAGCGTCCATCTCTTATAGGCTTTCATGTATCTGTCATACAAGTCCTCGGCAACAAACAACCGAGGCAGTGGTCCTAGCTCGAAAAGTCCAGATACTTCCAAACAACGTAAAGTGAAACCTAGTGAGGCCAGTAAGCTGAGATCAAAACAGAAGCAAATATACAGGCATTGCAATGCAGCCACTTGGACAAAACGTGCAAAGATACAAACATGGTTGCGGCGGCTCTAATGCGATCGCGCGTTTGCTACGTTTTTGAAGGGCGTCCAGAAGTGGATTGTGCATCCAGGCGCCGTGCAAACTTTGTTGAAATGGCACGAGGCGAGGCCCAAAAGTGCTATGGCTGTATGGAAAAATTGGGAAACAAGCGCAGCCGCTCAGTTGGGTTCCCACACACCACCAGCTTTGGTATGCTATCTGCAGAGCTCGCCTACGCGGGTGCATTTGCGGGTGCACTTAAGACTTAGCAGGCATGCACACAGCGCTGGAAAGGGTTATCATGTGGCAAGCATGTATGCAGTGCTGCGAGGGCGCTCTTAAGCTGGTGTGTTTATCATTTCGCAAACATGTACGCAGTGCTCTGCGGGTGCACTTGCGCTTATCACTTGCCAGGCACGCATGCAGTGCTCAGCGAATGCGCTGGAGCGGGTGTGCTCATCATTTGGCCAGCATGGGCGCAGTGCTGAGCGCATGCCTATCATTTCGCAGGCAGGGGCGCAGTGCTGCGTAAGTGGGCTGTCTCTCATTTGGAAGGCATGTGCGCAGCGCTCAGCGGGTTCGCATATCATTGGGCAGGCATGCGTGCAGTGACGAACGGGCATCTGGCAGGCAAGTGCGCGGTGTCCCGTGGGTGCACTTGAGCGGTGTTCTTATCACTTGCCAGGCATGTACGCAGTGCACTGAAGCGGTTGCGCTTATCATTTGGCAGGCATATATGCAGTGCTGAGCGGGTGTACTTGAGCAGGGGTGCTTCTCACTTGCCAGGCTTGTACGCAATGCTCAGCGGATGATCTGCTGCGCCTATCGTATGGCAGGCATGCATGCAGTGCTGGGCAGGTGTACTTGCAAGTTGCTTGCAATTTGGCAGGTATGTATGCGGTGCTGAGCTGGTGCACTTGAGCGGGTGTGCAGCGGGTGTGTATTTGGCAGGCAAGTACGCAGTGCGCAGTGCGTGCACTTGAGCGGTGTTGACCGGCATGTACGCAGTCCTCAGCGGATTCACTGAAGCGGGTGTGCTTATCACTTGGCAAGCATGTGTGCAGCGCTCAGTGGATGCGCTGCAGTGGGTGCGCGTATCATTTAGCAGGCATGCATGCAGTGCTGAACGGGCGCTTTGGAGCGTTTCTGTGTATCTGGCAGGCAAGTGCGCAGTGCTCAGCGGATGCACTGAAGCGGCCGTGCATATCATTTGGCACGCTTGTGTGCAGTGATGGACCGGTGCACTTGAGCGGGTGTGCTTCTCACTTGCTAAGCATGTGTGCAGCTCTCAGTGGATGCACTGGAGCGGGCGCGCTCACAATTTGGCAGGAATGCAGTGCTGAGCATCCCTGAGCGGATGCTCGTCTTGAAAATTGGAAAAGCGTGGTCGTGCTACAGGCGCCGCCACCACAAACACACACACACACACACAAATAATTAGGATCAAATGCCAAGCTACTTCAAAACCGGAATTTAAGATACCACTTGATGGTCAAAACCTATCAAATAGCAGAAGGTGACACAACCCCGCCCTGCCCCCCCTAAGAAGAACATCCCTGAACTTCAAGGGCCCGAGGAAACAAAGAACACCCTTTTATTGCTTAGTTGGATATGTTGAGCGAAAAAGGAAAACCCGCCAGCTGCCAAACACTGGAGGTGTAGGATTTTAACTAAACGTTAAATCAGGGGAGAGGGGGGGGATGGATTGGGGACGGTTGGATTGGGTAGGAAGCATGTGGGGCTTCAATGTTTGAAGCCCAAAAGATAAGGAGGAGAAGTGACGAAAGGACAAGGAGATTCAACATCATTTTTTCTCTGAGCTAGCAAAAGCCCACAGGAGTCCCTCCAACTCTAGCAGGCTGGCATCAGGGTGGCCAATCAAAAGCGGACAGCCACCAAGGATGGGTCGGATGCACAGAGCGGCAGCCCATGCTCCGACACGTCAACACTTACACAACTGCTCCTAGGCGTCCACGTGTTTTCTTGTGGACTGGTTTGAGCCAATTCTGTAGCTGAATCAGGGAAATCAGGCAACGTGCTGTTCAAGTGTCGAACGGAAGTGCTGACACCCCTCGCTTTGTTTCGGACTGCACGACCTTCTCCAGCAACCCCTCTTTGTCCAGAGTGAGGATAGGGTGGGTGTGAACCTGGCAACCCGCACTTGAGAGTGTCAGTACGGAATAAGAAAAGGCAAACACCGGTATCTTGAATAAGTGAACAATGCATGTCACCGGAAACAAACATGTCAACAGTCAGTATCACGCTGCCCTCAAAAACCGCGCTCTGACGTCTGAGTTCACCATCTCAAACCACAACATGCTACGGCACAACACATGACATGTTATCACATTAACGCACGTGGCGGTGCAACGATCTGGAACGACGGACGGAGCCCTGGCTCCGCTCCCATTCCAACACCATGTCCAGGCCAAGTCGCCTCTTGAATGCATTTACAACATATCGCCTCACAAGCGCATGATTTATGTCACGTCAAGTAAGACTTATGACTCTGACTAATATGACTCTTGCCCTTGCAAAACAAACGAATGGATATGCCCCATTCTCCCTTGATCTTCGATGACCCCAATGGTACAACCTTTGGTGAGAGTGGTGGCAAACCCAGCGGCTTGACTAACAGGTGGGCCAATCATCCATTGTTTCGGTCCATGGCTTTACATACACAGTGAGCAGAATTTGGACATCCACGTAAAGCATACGAAATGATAGTGAGAAGGCCAAGAGTTGGCTCAAAGAAATAGAGTTTGCCCCAGAATGCTCCCTAGCATGAGCCCAAGAGCAACCAAAAGGGGATGATTTTTTCCCTTTTATCCCCTTGTGTGAATGTGTCAAACACAGCCTAGCAAGGGGAACAGGTCTTGGGTACCAAGCAGTAAGCAGTTCTGTTTTTTTTTTCCCAGTGCGCATCCAATCCGCTGCCATCCCGCGATTCCATCCGACTCCCGCGCGCCAGCTCAAAGCTGAAGCCCTCGGCATCGTGGGCATCGCGGCGATAAGCGCCGTTTCTGGCGTAGATGCTGTTCCTGGCAAGAGCAAACAGCCGATCCTGGACCAAGTCCACAGGTCTCCATACCGTGTTTGGAATGGCATCCCCAACATATTGCCACAAACAGTTGCAGAAATGCCTGGTGCAAAGCGATGAGCGTCCACATCATCTCTGCAAGTGCATGATTCAACACACAATTGTCAGGCGGCGATAACGGTATGCGGCAACTTCAATTCAAGCCAAACTTGGACCACATGGCTAACCAGGTGAGTTCTGGCTCTCACGCGTTTAGGCAACTCAAACGGTCAAGTCTTGGCAGTCTCCTGCTGGAATGCGTCAAAGTCACCCCGCAAAGCCTTAGTCCGTGTGAGACTCAACATTACGAACACCCACCAAAGTGAAATGGCCAAGGGGCTGCAAAAGCAAACGTGAGTAAGCTTGACTCAATTCAGCTTCCTTCTGTGCAAGCCGGTGTCATGTTTCTCACAACCTTTCACTTTGGAAAGCGCTGGTATTGCTGGCACGTTGCAAATTGAAGTCCTCCGGGTGATGCTGACCTTTGCGCGCTTGAACATCTGGTGTAAGCAGTGTTGACGCTAACACGGTCATCTTGAGGGTAAGGAGAGCGTGTGAACAACAGGATGTGTCTGCCAGGCAGCCACAACAGCAAGGGTGGCTCAACTGGCCCGCTTGCTTTGGTTTCAAACACGTGTCAAAAGCGTTTGGCCAATGATTGGTTCATGCCATCAGTACTGCCAGTGGGCACCAAGGAGCCACAAGCAGACCCATGGTTTCGCATTGTCCACCTCCAAGTGGTGGGCGGCTACTCAAGAACGCAGGGCGGAATACGACCGCACCAACTTCCCTTGTCCACGGAACATTGCATGCAAGCCTGCAATCGAAATGCTGAATCGGGATTGCGCCTGTGTGTCCCCACGACAATTCTTAAAAAAAAAAAAAAAAAAAACTTAAACATTTAGGCGCACTCTGAAAGTGCGCCTTTTCGACGCACCAGTTTCTGACTAGGGATATTAACTTGCACTTATCTCCGTTTCAACAAGCGAACGGGCGCCTTTTGCTTTGTCACGTTTCGACTTTGGCCACCGCGTGAGGTGCAAAAGCAAAAATCGTGAGCTGGCAGAACTTCCAACCGCTGAACTGTGGGCAGAAGCGAGGTGTTGGATGGTTTGAAACGTGGACCCGTTGAAGATTCCATCCCTGACGTTAAGCTTGGCAAATGGAAGCGAAAATGCGCATCAGTCATCCGGCAGCATTCAAGACCTGCAATACCAAGCATGCTTCAGGTGGGCTCATCGAATTCAGCCACAGGCCAAACACTCTGAAGATGGGTCCCGAGCACTTGGCACAACCCTAAGCCACGAGGTTTCCGGCAATGGCACGCAGCAAACTCAAATAATGTTGGCATGCGATGAATTCAGAACCAGTTGATCAAACTAAAGCCGACTTCACAATTGAAAAGGGTGTTCATCAACTTGGAGATATCCACTGAGAACGGGATCGTTCGGCGGTGATCCGGCGGAGTGAACGTGTCTCGTAAGACTCCTGATACCTTTGGACGGGACATTTGAGCTCATGGGGCTGGACAACAAAACCGTCTTGAGTTTTGCTTGCTTATGGTTTCACATGAAATTCTGACTTGGCCAAATCGCAACTCTGCAGTACAAGTCTGATGTGCGAAGTTCAACTCCGCTCCAGCTACGAAATCGCAACTTGTCCATGCAAGTCTAGCACACAAAGTACACAGCCACACAGCTACAAGGTAGCAGAATGTCCAGGAAAGTCCAGCAAGCAAAGTACACCTCGGCATATCCGGGAACATTGTCGCAACTTTTCAGTACAAGTGTGTAGCATACATATGTACACTACCGCAAGCTGCTATATTCTGCGCCAGGCAATCATGGGAATGGTTGAATTTGGGAGGTAAGCGGCCACACTACAGTGTGCAAAAATCAGTGTGCGCAAATCAGTGTGCGCAAATCAGGGGCATTTTTCACATGTTGCCGTGTCGAGTATGGATCGGGGGTATGGATCGCGGCACAGGCATTGCAAGCAAGTGCTGACGATAGCAGTCGTGGTAGCGGCAGCGGTAGCAAAAGAGATAGCAGGGGCGGCAGCGGTAGAGATAGCGGTAGCGGTGGTGATAGTAGTAGTAGTAGTAGTAGTAGTAGTAGTAGTAGTAGTAGTAGTAGAAGTACTAGCGGTCGGGGTCGTGGTAGAGGTAGCCGTAGCGGCAGCGGTAATGGCGGTAGTAGTAGTAGTAGTAGTGGTGGTGGTGGTGGTGGTAGTAGTGGTAGGAGTGGTACTAGTCGTAGTCGTAGTACTAGTAGTAGCAGTAGCAGTAGTAGTAGCAGTAGTAGCAGCAGTAGTAGTAGTAAGCAGTACTGGTAGCAGTGATAATAGCCGTAGTAGTAGTGGTAGTATTAATAGTCGCCGTGGCAGAAGTAGCGATAGAAGAAGAAGTGGTAGTAGTAGTCGTCGTAGTAGTAGTAGTAGCAGTAGTAGTAGTAGCAGTAGTAGTAGTAGGCAATACTGGTAGCAGTGATAATAGCCGTAGTAGTAGTGGTAGTATTAATAGTCGCCGTGGCAGAAGTAGTGATAGAAGTAGAAGTGGTGGTAGTAGTCGTCGTCATAGTAGTAGTAGCAAGCAGCAGCAGTAGTAGCACTTATGATAGTGGCAGTGGTAGTCGTGTTCGGGGTGCTGGTTATGTTGATTGGCAAGAGTAGGAGTAGTAGCAGTAGTAGAAGGCGTCGTGGGCGTAGTGGTAGCAGCAGCAGCCCTGGTAGTAGTAGTAGTACTAGTAGTAGTAGTAGTAGTAGTAGTAGTGGTGGTGGTGGTGGTGGTGGTGGTGGTGGTGGTAGCAGTAGCAGTAGCAGTAGCAGTAGCAGTAGCAGTAGCAGTAGCAGTGGTGGTAGCAGTAGCAGTAGCAGTAGCAGTAGCAGTAGCAATTTCAGTAGCAGTAGTAGTAGTAGTAGTAGTCGTGATAGTAAAAGTAGCGGCACGAGCGGTAGTTGTGTGGACTAGTAGTAGTGGGGTAGTGGTAGTGCTGGTGGTAGTAGTGGTAGTAGCAGTAGCAGTAGCGGTGGCCGTACCCCGTAGCAGTTGCAGTAGCAGTAGCAGTGGCAGTAGAAGTGGCAGTAGCAGTAGTGGTAGCAGTAGCCGTAGCCGTGGCAGTGGAAGTAGCCATAGCAGTAGGTAGTAGTGGGCAGCAGCGGCAGCAGCAGCAGAAAACGGAAATAGCAGTAGAGGCAGTAGTGGGCAGTAGTAGTTGCGGTAGCAGCAGAAGCATTCCCGCGCTGGAAACAATAGCGCATAGATGCAAAGCAGCAACACTAGGAACATAGCAGTACGTGAGGTCTTGATGGAAGCTCATCTACAAACTGAAACTTGAGACACCAAATCTCACATTCAGCATCAACAATCAACGACACACATAAGGCTAGAGGCAAGGTATGGATCGTGCACCCTTCAGCAAGTACATAACGCGGGATGTATTGAAGGAATGGATCGAGGTGTGGTCGTGTGTAGAATCCGGCCCTTGAGCCGTACCTTCTATTCTGACTGGCAGAATTCACTTGTGCCCGTTCGGCCGAGTGGCGTAAGTACTCGGCCACTGCCAGGCCATCGCACACCTTGGACCGCACAGAGCCGCGCGCCTGGCGTAGCGAAAGAGGCCTGACAATCTTGCCGCCGTGATTATTGATTTGATGAACTAATGTTAACGGGCATGGCTGCTTGCTTGCTTGGCAGCTTCCTTGGTCGGCTGCTTGCTTGGCTGCTTGCTTGCTTGGCTGACTGCTTGCCTGCTTGCTTGCCTGCCTGCTTGCGTGCTTGCTTGCCTGCTGGCCTGCTTGCCTCCTTGCCTAGGTCGCTCGGCAGGTTGGACATTTTGCGGAATTGCCCTGCATTTACCTCAATGATTGCAACCACCACAACTCTGACCACCACAAATGCTATGGCAACTACCGCCACAGTCGTGCTGCCCAAGAGCGAACGGTGGCTTGAGTTTAGTGCAGGCAACTTTGACATCGTAAATGGTGCAGTTTCTTGATCAAATGGCAGTGCCAGGCGGTGTCATCGCATTGACATGCGCCCAATCTCATCTGAACAAGGCAAGCATCAGCGAACATATCAGATCCACTAGGATGCAGCACCATTGACAGCAAGGCAAATGAAATGCAGTGTGTTTCTGACGGGTAACGAAGGTTTTTGCTTCGATTGGCTAAGCATTAGTCAGCCAACGGGGTTGCAGCCGCACGGCAACTTGCCGGTCCTGGTACATGAACTGCAGGTAGCCAGGGGTGCCATGGTACACCGAGTGGTCTGTGTGCATGGACAGCCTAGCTCGCAAACGGGATAGCGTGACACCCCTTCCGTCAAGCGTAGCCTGTCCAGGGTCACCTCTGCGAAGGTTAGATAACATGCGAGCAAAAGACATGCTGCCTCACCAATATGCCACTGGTATCCACTGGTTAATCGCACGGCATCAACATCCATACGCTTGTTGTCGCTAGAAACCATCAAGCTTGACAGCGGCTAAGGCAAAACCAGCTTTGCACAGCACTTCAGGCGAGGGAGCGGGTTGTTCTGGTCGTAGTCTGCGCCAGCTTGTTCGCCCCGGGCCTTGCGGGAACCGCAAGGAACGACCTTTGAACCGGTTTGCAATGTGAAAGAACTCCCTGCGCCATGATTTACCTCACTGGTGAAACAATGCCTGAACCTTTGGTTTCTCACCCGTCACCCACAACCTGCTGCTATGTGTGGGTGTAAAAGCTTTTGCCAACTTCCAGCTAGATTTTTCATCCGGGAGACCAAATATCTTTGTTTTCTGGATGCCTGCCCTATGATATTCGCAGTCTTTGTTTGAAGAAAAACCCTGCTTGCCGTGAAGGCATCTTTGCCCCAAGCCTGCGTATGGATCACCCCAAAGCGCGTTGCACGCACGGGGTGCTGGTTGAGCCGCCCGATGATCTGTGAGACAAAGTCCTCCCGGCGGGCTTCGTCGCACATGTTCGGTTGTTCATGTTTTAGGCCAGGCGCACAACTATGTGCAGACTGCTGACACTTATGTATGCCATTGCCTCGCCTCCAGCCAACACAGCAGTGTAGTATATTTCTCCAAGCATGCCCCTCAAATCGCCAAAGAACGCGCCTATGCTCCAACATCGACATGCTTGTGCCTTTGATCTCGTGCGATTTGCCGATACACGACGAGGTGTGGCTCAAGTGCACCAATAGAGCGAGGGGAAGCACGAACCAAAGCTGGAGCCCACATGCAAGATGCGTGGATGATAGGATAGCATTAGACTTCCGAGCACTTTTACTGACCCATTAGATCCCATCAGAATCTTGTGGCCTTTGAGAGCTGACGTTCAACACACCCATGACAATTCAGCACTATCACTGATCTGCGTAAATGGGTTTTCTGTGGAGTAGCTGAATGGTTGCATGTCTCTCCAGCTTTGTCTCATTGCTGCTTCAAGTCAACAGCTTATAGCTTGACTGATCTGCAGGTGTTACATCCAGCCGAGAATAGAAACAAAGAGAGCATAGCTATGAAATGGCTTTTCCAAAATAAAAGCAAACAAACCATCGGGCGCGTCTCCGCGCAAAAACGCACATGCACCGGCTACATATTGGGATGGTCAAAAGCTAGGGCCCACTGAGAGCTCTTCAAAGGACCTAAGCCTTGCTGGTGCATTGGCTGACGCTGTTAGGACACCAGCCGTCCAACTTGTGCGTTCGTGACTCCTCTTCTGGGTTTGTTCCAAGCAGGTTTCCCCTAAAAGAAAAACGCTGCGATCCTTGCAACTTGCAACCTCCCATCGAACGAAGTCTGAGAGATCAGCTTTGCACTGGAACAAGCCGCATTACCCATCCCATCCAAGGACAACATACCTGACAAAGCAACATGAGACAAGTCAATCGCCTGCTGCATTGGCCATCCCCAACAGCAACCTATCCTGAACCCAAGCCCGCCGCTACGGACGACTCCAAACCTAGGATAGCTTTCAGCTGGGAAAAAAGGGGCTCCAACTGACAGTCAGCTTATGTCAGGCGAACCCTAACATTCAATCAGGAAACACCACACCTTGAGATTTCCCAAGCCCTCCACACTGCCTCTAATGGCTCGCCACAGTCAGCATGTGCCAAACTCCGTGGCTTGCCCACGTTGGTGATCACCGCCACCCCTGAAGCATGGCGCATCGCAAGTGAGAGATTGGCCGTGGGGTAAAAGTTGCAGTCAGGTATACGTCCCAAAAAATTGAGTGTTAGCGGTCAAAATCCCGAACCCCCGCTGAACATCCCAATCCCAACTAAAATAGACTAAAATGGGTAGTGCACCTACCCCAAAATGGTACCATTGGTGTTGATCCACGGCCATTTGGGTGTTAGCAAGAATATGACTCATGACTGTGTGTGTGCACCGCTACAACTGAATAGAAGGAACACACAAACTATTGAACAAACAAGCACTGACACAAACGAAACAAACATGCAAACTGTTTTTGTGCACTGGCCCGGAACTCCCGCCGCTCTACAAAAAAACAAACTGGCTGGAAAGAGAGAGGATTCAGGGCTTCAATGCACACCACCAAAACACCACCAAAAACACAGCCGGGACACCACCAAAACGCCACTGGAACATCACCGGGACACCGCGGAAACAGCACTGGGGCACAAGTGGGACACTACCACAACGAAACAAACGAAACGAAACGTAACGAACAAAGGAACCAGAAAACTCTCACACACACACACGAGCAATCACCCGAGCAAGCAAGCAAGCAAGCACGCAGGCAGGCAAGCCAGCAAGCAAGCAAGCAAGCAAGCAAGCAAGCAAAGAAACAAACAAAGAAAAAAACAAAGAAAGCCAGAAAGGAAAGGAAAGGAAAGGAAATGAAACAAACCAACGAACAACCAAACAGCCAAACAAACAAGCAAACAAGCAACCAAAACAGACAAACACACACACACACACACATCGACGACCAAACACACAAACAATCAAACAAACAACTACACAAACAAACACATCAACAAACAAAACAACAAGCATAAGAAACCAAACAAAACCAATTTACGTCTCATGGTGGCAGCACAGCTGGCTGCATACACTCCCGCCTGGGTCCATCATCCTGCGCAACGCAAATCCACCAGCACCCGCTTATTGTGCTTCTGTCGCATTTTGACCCATGCGTCCACGTGGCGATGTTCCAGCAGTAAATCCCCTTTTTCTAGGCATCCTTCAGAAGAATTGGTGTATTGACATGTTCTGAAAAGATCCATGGGTTTCCAACTCGTCACACGTCGCAACAAAGGCAGCGCGTGTCCTTTCAAGGAACTCCAGCTGCATGCTTTCATCCTGGCACTCAAACAACGGCACTCACAAAAACAGCGAGGTTCTCTGGTGCCCCGCCATGGAAATGCTGTAGCTCCTTCCGCCTGCACAATCAGCACGTACTAGCACATAGTATCGGCACCCATCAGTACATGTCAGAAAATGGCACAACACCATGCGTCAGAGGAACAACAAAGGTACCGAACCGAACTGAAACACAATCTTGCAGTTCTAGTCACATAGTCACAAACGACTTCAAACTATGGAGCTCAAAGGACAAACATCCAGCAGAAACAAACTTAGCTTTGGGCCTGATTCAGAATGTGAGCGGGGACCGCGGGATTCAGTCAGCCTTCCTTCGGTCCGGTCCGGTCCGGTCCTGCAGCATCTGCTGCCCATCGAAGCGGGGCATGTCCAAGCTGGAGTCCCATGGCTTTCGGTTGCGGTACCTGACGTTCGGTTAACTCCGGACTCTCTGATTGAAACATTAAGATTTACCCCTCCAACTAATCCAGTGGGGAGGTACCTGGAAGACTAATTTCTTTTTGAGACCCCCTCTCGAGTGTTAGTGGGAGGGAGGGCAATCCCATGGTTTTTTCGGGGGTTTGGGTGGAGCTACGAAATCAATGTGTAAAACGGTGGACATCGGTCCTTCCACAAAAGGTGCCTTTAAAAGGAACTTGGTCTTCCAGGACACCCTGTCAGGTTCCATGATAATTAGTGAGGGGGGGGTTGGGTTCCTGTAAGCCTACAGGAACCCGACAAACGGGTATGGGTCAAAATTGAACCCGAGGAAAGCGCAGGTTTTAGTCCATGTTTCCGGGCAAGCCATTTTGGGTACCCGTTTTTGACCCATAGCCAAACCACCTTAAGCCCGGACTGCATACGTCTTACCAGCCAAGTGGACTCTATTCACGATCTTCACTGCATGGTTGTATATCCGCCATCTGGCATGGCCCTCACAACAAGAATGACATCTTCCAACAGGTGATGCATAGAAGAGACCACATTGTTCTGGCAATGTTGAAGAAAAGACTAAGTGCTGCTCATGGCTGAGTTACGAAAGCCCGAGCTAAGTGGAATGAAAGCTGTCGTTGTTCATCAATTTGCATGGCTCCCATACCCCATACTGCCACCCTTCCACAGCGCACAAGTCCTCGAGCAAAGATCCCGTACCCGGCAAAGTGGAGCCATTCAACTTGGGCTTGGCTTTCTCATTCAGCGGGCTTCCTCAGCATGTGCAAGGCGCCCGTACTATAAGCTTCACGTTGTTTTCGTTAAGCAAAGCTTGGCTCAAGTGTTGCTCAGCGAAAGGGAACCACGCTAACACACTTGGCCACCAGTACTCATGAACTCTAATGCATGGTTCGTCTCACTCAGCTTCGCTGCTTCAAGGCTTGCCTCTGACCGGATCCGTTCGGACTGACTTCTTACTTCTCGTCGAACTGGCAACACATACACCCATGCTACGATACATACACCGCTTGCATGCTGTGTTCCAATGGCTTCTGGTTGCTCGTATTGGCGAATCACTGCTCCAAGTTGCTTTGAACAAGAAGTATGACTCTATGCCACACTGTGTACAGTTCGCCCCCAAAGCCGGTGTCCACCATTGTTTCAATGTCAAACATAGGCTCCCTTTTTTGGTGGTTGTGGACAAAAACAGAACAACCATACACAGCTCTGGCCATTTAGGCAGATTCTATATCTTGATGCATTCCAGACTTGGCGTGTCTATCCCATGTTTGCCGCAAAGCAAGTCGCAAGTCGCCTTGTTTAATTTGCATGGTTGAAAGGTCGGGTGTTCCCACCCATTTGGACTCATTGACCTTGTGTTCCAACGCAGCCATGCGTTTATGATCTTAAACATCATATTTGTTGTTGCGGCCCTATCTCGTCTTGAGGGTGCTCCTCGTTTTACGCCTAACTTAGTAAGTTACCCAACAAATTTTTCCCTCCGGCCTTTCCCGTCGCTCACATGCGTGCACACTCAGTGTTCAGAGTCCGGTCTTTAGATGCATTGCCAGATCTGCTCGACTGCTTTCTCGCTGGGATTGCTTACGTCAGCCCCACAGTCCCAAGGCCATCTTTCTCACAGAGAGCACCGGCTTGCTGGAACATTTTGCTGCATTCGCCGCAAACCGTCAAACCGTTTTTATTGGGGCACTATTGGGGCAGGCCACAAGGCCCTGCCATGGCCATGTTCAAGAAATGGGAGTCAATCTCTTCGCAAAGTTTGTCCATGGATCCTGCAAAGTTCCGGCAACACTCGTTTCGAGATCACCATGGGTTCTGTCAGCCCTGTGATGAAGCAATTAGGACACGTCACAAGTGACCGGGTGAAGTTCAGACCAGGCCTGTCCAAGGCAGGAGCCCTAGAACTGCTGAACCTAAAATACAAGTTATGCAATAAGGATAGATAGGTTAGAAAACACAACTGCAATATCTCTCCTTTTCTAACCTAACATCCATGCAAATCGATGCGCTCCATGCGACCAGATCAACATGTCGAAACACAAGCAGTGCAGGCAAGTTGCCGACAAAAGGTGCGAAGGCATGAAGCCATGTCGAGACATACTCTTCCGTCACCATGTTAGAAGCGTCGCCGTTCTTGAAGTGAACCTCCCAACCAGGAGATCAGGAGATCACCAGAGCGTTTGTACCCAAAGTGCTATAGCTCCCAAAACCTCCACAACTCCTCCGCCCTTGTGCCTGAATCTTGGAGCCATCCGACGAAGGCTTCACTGTGTCCACGCTGTACTGGTCACTTTCAAACAACGTCTTGGCCTTAGTCTTCTGCTCGTTCACAGAGTCACATGACTCAAAGGGCCAAATTATGTTTGGTTCACCTTTACGAAGTCTTAGTTGCCCTGAAAGTGATGTTGGAACGATGCAGCTGCCTGGTCTGCAATTTCCGCGAACGTCCTGAGGAACTGGCAGACTTTCTATAGTAGTCGTTGCCAGTGAGATTCGGATGAGAGTCCTGCCAAAAAAGTCAGCGCGCGTTGTCCAAGCTGAAACTTGAATGTGATGACTGGGAAGCCTGACAAACATTTGTAGCGGGAACTCCGAACTGCAAGGACCTGGCAACTCAACCAAGTCAGCAGAAGGCGTTGGGAAACCACTTAGTCTTGTACCTCTGGTCTGTCCTGGGAAACTAGGTTGCCTTAGCAATTACGGCCTCACAGTACATATCATGGTAAAAAAACTATCTGTTCCCGGTGTATTCACTTGTCTTTTAAGCTGTCCCCCATTTCGCGATTAGTCCGGTACACAAAACGTTTCATGGCGGCTTTGGCTTGGCACGGCACCTCTCAGCACACTATTTGAACATCGCGGAACTGTTCAGACGGGGGCGCTAAGTTGGGCCCAACTACCAACCCCCACAATTAGGGGCCCCACTTCCCAGCGTTGTACATTGAGGAAGGGGGAGGTGAGGCCTAACTGCCCTGCCCTTATATTGTTGGGGGGTATTGCAGGGATCCTTACATTATACACCTGAACATTGCCTTGTCAATGGTGGCTTTCCTTTATGTTGGTGGCAACATGTTTCAAATGGTTGCAAAATGGAGATCTTTTCAGGAGCCCTGTATTGCCAAGCACCTTATGGTAAATTGAGCCCCAAAGGTAGAGCTAGCAGGATTCCATCTGGATGGCACCACTCCAGCCAAAACTCGGCAGGGATGGTTGCCTCACTCAGCTCACAGGGAAGGAACTAAGCAAACCAATCAATCACACCCTACATTTGAAGGATATCATGTTTTGGCAGCCTATCGTTATCCAAACGAAACCATAAATGGAGCGCTCGGCGCTTGTGCGATACACCCTTGTAATTATGTTTGAAGGATGGGAGCTTGACCCCACCCAATCAAAAACGGTCTCACCGCCCAGAAGAGGGCTATCTCAGGGTGGTCCTTGATCCACTCAGCGTGGAAGCGGAAATCGGATCCATCTGCAAACTCGATATCAACCTGCAAGCGTCATGAACAGACTCAAACACATGTGGCTGTTGCCATTGGTTCGGCATCTCTCGTAAAAGACTCCAAATGACCTTGCCTGCTTCCCATCATTGACAGGACGCGCTGCGACGACCTTCATGCCGCGGGTCTGTCCTTTGCAAACGGCGGATCGAACGACCGAGTGCACCGTCGGCCAGCACGCCGTCAAAAAGCTGCGAGACGCATGTCGCATAAATCCAATGCATGACATGTCCAAAGCTGCACCGATTCCACTATCCGCTGGATCAACACAGCCCTCCAGCTGCAAAGCTGATTTGCTTTGGCCAAAGCCCAAAAGCAACACGATCGGAGCTGCAGCCATGGCACCCAGGATGCCTCAGAGAGCATCTCGGCTCAAACTGAAATCAGCCGGCTGAAAAAAAAAGATCCGCCGGCCTCACAAGAAGCCCTTCCTTCCGTCCAGAGACCCAACATTAAAACAAAAAACAACTCGCGGCTCCTGTTCAGGATCTTCAGCGCAAGCGCTGGATCAGGTATCATTGGATATGAGGTGCTGAGATCTGCCAACCAGGTAGGATGCAACTTGCTCTTGCTGCAAGGAAATTTGGCTCCCCTGGATTTGCACCATCAATTTCTTAACAAGCTTGTCCGATAAGCCACATGGATGCAACTGAGCCTTGAATTTCTTGGCGAAAAGGTCCGTCAACCGAGAAGGCCGCTGAGAAACGAGGCCGCTCAAAAATTGCCAAAGGCCCAATCGAAAAGGATGCGTTTTGAAATTGAGCCCATTTCGAAAACGCGATCATCAACCGCAACGGGAAAAAATTGAGCCCTGAGCTAATCGAAGTGGGATCATTTGTCTTGATTTTGCCTCTTCGGTGTCAAACCAGCCAAAAATCGCTAAGAAAATTCAGGGCTCAGGCTCAATTTCTGAGCCTCTTTGGGTGACGGGCGTCAACTCAGGGCTCAATTCTTTGTGGGCCTTTCCCCTAAGAAATGCCGGCCTGCAAAGCAACGCGAAATTACAACCTGCCAAAAATTGGTACGAAAATCAGCCCTCCTAGCTCCGGAGTGGTAAATACAAGCCCTCAACACACAATGGCCAAGGCACAAGTTGCTCAACACGTCTCACAGGGAGCACGTTGAGCAGTTTGGTTTCTTGCTACGCATTTTTTGTGGCCTGTTGGTATTGCCTCCAGAACCCATGTCCTTGCTTTTTCAGCTGCACCGCAATCAGTCGCCCGCCCTTTCTTTCACCAAGCGACTCCGGGAGGTGGACATGCCCCGCGCCAGAGGTATGCGTGCCATGTTCAAGCCAGACCGATTGAAGGAAGACCTAAGGGAGGCAGTCACGAAGTGAAGAAGTCAGGTATTTACTATATTGGACGCTGGGGTGAAAACCTCTCCGTCTGAGACAGTTGAGACTTCGGACTCCCAAACCTTGTTTGGGCACACCTGGCGCTGTTAGAACAGCAAGTCACGCATGAAGGTTGGGAAGCGTAATAATGCAGTGACGCGCTCTTGTAAATACCAAATCACTAACCCTGACAAATGATGTGCCTTTCACGCGCGACTGATGTGCATTGCTTCCAGCACTCTACAAGTCCATGCTAAGGCTAAGACTCGCTGGATGATGGTGCCTGCAGCATTCAAACGGATGCCGGAACTGTCTAAGCAGTGGCTAAACTCTGCTTTGCAGAAGTATTCAATGCCGATAACTATAATGAGTGGCAAGGATTGACAGGCGCGCGAGCAAACCAATCTCAGCCGTGACGCTGCTGACATGTGTCTCCAACTGTTTGCCAACCTCGCTGTCTTCATTACACTTGGAATCTGCAGTGCCAGGTCCTTGCTGCAGAGAAGCCCTGGATATTTGTGTCGAAACAGGGGGCAAACAAACATTTCGTGGTCTTCCTTGTGGTGTCCCTTCAAGCCACGGTGAAAAGGGCAACCTTCAAAAACACGCGCGCACACAGGGACGTCGATCTTGCAGTTGTCTATGCAATCAGATTCACGCACATGCACTGGCGATCCGATTGGCTAACGCATTGCAGATCCGATTGGCTAACGCACTGCATGTCAAGTCAGCTCGTGCACATAGGTGTCCTTTTGGAAAAAAACGATGGCCCTGGTAAATTGAATGAAACCCATCTAAACCAGCGCCTTGAATCATTTGACCAACCTGAAAAGGACACCTGTGCTCGAAGCAGACGTGATCAAGCCCTCAGGGTGGTCCACCCATGGCACATGTTGCCCGCCTTGGGCCTGGCGGACAGCTGCGAACAGGGCGCAATGGCATGGAGCATCGTGGCAGAGTACAGCTCCTCGGGTGACGGGACCCATCCATGGCACCTGACGTTCGGGGGTCCCTCCAAGAAACTGATCTTCCAGGTACCCTCCCTCAGGTGCCATGTTAGTGGGAGGGAGGGTAATGGGACCTATCCCTGTGTTTAGGCAGCGGATCAGAGACGGAAATCCGGCATCTGTCAAAGTGAAGTCACGCACAATCCAGTTGCAATCCAAGAGTTCAAGACTTTGCAGGTGGCAAGTAACACATCAGCCGCATCAACCCCAACACCACCCCACCACCCCACCCCGGTTGTGCAGAATAAAAAAAAACTTCACCAACGGTGCGAAGGTGGAGGGGGATGGGCGGGCTTGGTCTGAGGGGCTTGAAAACACCGCACCCTTGACGGAGGACTATCCCAGTTGCGCACACATCCAACATGTCCGGCTTTACAATAAGCAACCAAGTATGTAGAAGGAGTTGTGAAAAGTTTAGAGTAGCGCAATATCACTCATAATGTTGGCCCCTGATTCTAAACAATATTTTTTTATAACTGTCTTTTTACACCCCCCACTGCCAGCCACTGCTTTACAGGGGCCCAAAAGGTTTGGCCTAAAAGAAACTAATTCATTTCTGGCACAGGAACCCTCCTGATTAAAGACGGCGATATCCCCAAAATCCAAACATAGAAACAAACACAATCTCAATTTACGAAACTAGTGCCCATATTTTGTTTGGTGCGAAACCGACTAAAACAGCTAGACGGAAGCAGCACAATTCTCACTGCACCCTTTTTAAGCAAATCAGGGTTTGACAAGCTAATAACTAGTACATGTAAGGACAGTCCCGTCCATCAATCACTTTTGGTGTTGTTCCCTTCAAAATCGCCAAATATCACTCGCGCGCATTCAATCGCTTATTGCAGCGAGTGCACCGACACGGCATTCTGCGCGAACCTCCTGAAGCGCAGCATCAGCTTCGAGCCTTCCTGCAGGGTCAAGCGACTCGTGCCTTGCCGTCTCGTCTCTCGTCCCAGCGGTTTTTACTGGGCAATGAGGTCGAGTCAAATGGCAGCCTCCTTTCTTTCGAGGTTCACAAGTTGGAAAAAAAATGAGGTGGGATCGACTTTCTCTCTAACAAATCAGCCGGATGCTGAAGTGCGCAAGGTGTGCTGATATCCCACGGATTCAGCCTGCAACCAAGCCCCAAAACTGGAAGCAACCAAGTTGCAACCAAGCCGCTACTGTTCATTGAGTTCATTGCGACGGGTTTTTCAACATGTGCATCGTCACTGCTAATGTCCAATCCGAAGGTTAACCTTTACAACATTACAATAAGGATCACCATCTATGGATCACGGACTGCTGAACAACTCAGCCTAAGAAATTGTGTTGTGAAGCCAATTAAAAGCCAGGAAAGACTACTCAAACATGTTCGCGTCATTGCTCAATCGTCCATGCGTGCCAAACAGTCGAAACAAATCGGCCTCAGAAAGCCGCGCCGTCTCCGCTGTGAACTTGCCGGAGTCTGAAACCGCCTGGCTGTCTAGCAAGCTGCAGCCCGAAATCAAGTCGCCGCGTGCAAGGAACCCAACGCGGCACAATTCATGGCGTTGTCTTGCATTCAGCGGCTCTCGTACAAGTACCAGGTAAAACATGATGCGGAATCGATCTCGTTTGCAAGTTTCATTGTGAACAAGGTCATGGCAGCTGCTTCCTCCCGCCCTGCCTTACTTTGACAGCCACTTGCCATGTCGCTTGGAGTGAATCCCTTCATGCAAGCCTCGGATCAAACCACTTCGGCCATGGTGGATCTTGCACATATGAAGCCACGAGAACCTATCTCCAGCTTCTTAGTGTCCCCCAAGAAGGCTACGCCGCTTCTCCTTTTCGTTATTCGTTCGCAGGGGGAGCAATGCTGCTCCTGTCGTGAAACACGAACACAGCTAGGTTGTAGCAAATGCCCTCGACCCTCCTGCTTCAACGCGACGATGCATTAGAACTCTTAAAAATGGCCTTGGCTCTCTCTGGCCCAACTCCCATCATGCTATGCCTGTGCCATAAATCCGCCGAGCCTTTCTTGTCAAAAAGGGCAGGCGCACGGGAAGGGTGGCAACAAAGTGTTTTAAATCGTAAGTTGATCATCATCATCACCACCACCACCACCATCATCATCATCATCATCATCATCATCATCATCATCATCATCATCATCATCATCACGGTGATCAACATCGCGGTGATCATCATTCTGGTCGTTATCATTATTGTCGCGTATCTTACATCATCATGGTGATCATGCGAGGTCGGCGCGCGGAGCGGTAAAAGAAAAAAACCAGAGATATACTGTATGTTCATATCAAAT